TTTGTGCACGAAGTTCGACGGCACTACCAATTTTGGGGGGAATACCTGGTCCTTTACATAGACCCAAAGAAGAAATCCAGTCGGGTTAGATGGGAGCAGCAAGGGGCCCGCGGGATTGGTCCGTGTCGCCCAATCCGTTTGGAAAAGTTTCATTCAGAGACTCTCTGACTGTAAGGCCCCAGTGTGAAGGGACCATCTGCGGGACTGCACTTGAATAATTGATTTTGTCTCCCACTACCACAACACAAACATTGCATTTTGCTGGTGGAAGGGCGCCATTTTGCGTTCATCAGCTGTTTACGTCTCAGCTGCACCACTATCGGCCGAGCTATCAATTAATACGGAAAACATTCAGCGTTTTTCGAAAAATGCAATCCGTTTCCCGGTATCTCTAAAAGTTTGTGGTTTATGTACGTTTAAAATGTGAATAATGTATGGCCATTCTGTATTTCGTCAGGCCCCACTCCCCCCCCGGTCCCTACGTCAGTAATGCTGATCGGGTCATATTTCCGTGTTTCCGGTCTAACTGAAATATCTTTACTACTTCTTTCATATCATGACATCCACACACGATGACGCATTTCCTCTGGCAAAGGAGACGTTTCGACTGCGGCGACTGTCTGCTACCATTCAAACGCAGGGATTTTAGTTCAAAACTCACAGGGGGCAAAAATGTAAATCTCTGAATTTTTCTCGGTTTATGTTGTCCTGTGTAGGTACAGACATTTCGCGTGGTCTGCGCTGTCCCCATCCAAATGTCTATCAGAAGTTTCCGAACCTCGGAAAACGGGAGCCGTTTGATCTCACTTGTCGGTCGTGCCATACAAGAAGTTAATAGTAGATATGCATTCCCACTTCGAATCCTGACATTCAAGCAAGTTTATGTTCGAGAAGCCGTTTCGCACCGTACAGAAACACGCTGCTTCATCATTATAAAGACTAGCCAGTTGGTGCTGTTTAGGGTATCAGAAAATCATATGAAACAAATACATTATACATGGACATTGCTGGGTCTTTAATGTTAAAGCGGGCGGTATATTAGTGACCAATGTGAGACTAGTGATTTCATAAGCAGGGTCCTTGTAGCAAGGGACGAAACCGGTGCTCTGCTGTTTGAAGTGGAAGACTTACCAGTGCACACTGCGGTGTTGCTATGGAAACACGAATCTCGGGAACCGAACGGAGCAAACAGGACGTACGCAATTTCCGGTTTCCAAGCTGCTGGGCAGGCACACTGTCCAGCTTCGGAATTGCCGACACCGTCTGGCTGCTGGAGGGCTGTGATTGAAAAGTAGGTTAGTGGAAAGTATTGGAGTCATTGACTGTAATGCATTTGGACACGGCAAATAAGCAGATGATTTTCCAGAAATAATTAAACGTTTATACAGAATCGCATAGCACAATCTCCGACGACCTAATTACGAAATAAAAGAGGGGACTATAAGCAGACAGCGAGCAATGTAACATGAATCACAATCTAAAAAGGTAAAAAAGTAAAGCAATCGCTGTAACAGCCCGTGGAGGCCCATAGGGTTGTGAGACGCCGAGGCTCCCACATTTTCTAGACAATCGGCTCACAGATGGCGGTGAGGTTTTCAGCCTTAAGCACCGGCCGCCCTTTACCCGCAGGAAGATTTCTAGTGCTCATATCTGTTGGAGGCTTAGTCGATCCCAGGTCCATAGTGAGGCTGATTAGCTCAATTGAAAAACATAATGACCTCATGTGGAATTGAAACTGCTACCTTCCGACTTGTAGCAAAGTGCCTCAACCAAATACTCTACGGCGTGCCTCCAATTATAATCTAAGAGGGATGATAACTTACGACAATAATAATATTAATAATAACAATATTATTGATTTTCTACGGTGAGAAGTTTCTATCTCCATGTCAAGCCTCCAAGCTGGTGGCCCACCCCATGCCGGCTGTCCACGATTCCTTATTCAGTATTTCAATATCCTATGAAGATATGGCAACGTTATCGTGTTTGGGAATGACAATAACAAATCAAAATTTGATTCGTGGAGAAGTTAAGAGACATGTAGTAAGTGGCTTGGGTCAAGCTCGAAGCCAGCTGCACATCAGTAAATCAGTGAAGCTAATGCGAAATACGAGACCGGGTTCTTCAGACATTCCAAACTTTGACACCGGAAGTCATAATTTTAGTAGGGTCGTTCTGGACTTATGCTACCCCAAATTCCAGTTTGACAGTCACGCAGCAGGTGGCAGAGTTCACCCCTAAACTCTGGCCGCTTAAGTATTTCTTTTTCTAATTGGAGGAGAAAGATTAAGCAGCCTCCCAGCTTGCCCGGTCCGCCCAATCAAAATCTGAAGTGGGACGCCCTTTGCCTGAATTTTGGGTAACCAGGGAAGATGTCTACCCATCAAAGTGCGCTTGGCTGGAGGACTACGGGGATACACGTGTTCTCGGATCACCCATATATTCACTTCTTTGTGGTCCCACTCGACTAGTATGTTTTAGGAATCAGTAACAGCCTAACCCATCGGAAAAGCGCCGAATGGCGGTCAACGGATTCTCCAGCGTCAAAGAAAGTGAGGCGGCAGCAAACGAAAATAAAGACTATGATAATCGTTTTTTCTCCGATGCTAGGAGTAGTGTTCATCACGAGTCTGTTCCGCAAGGCAATCTGTCAACCAAGAATTTTACATCTCCGTAATCAGGCGTATGCGCGAGTCATTTCGACGTCGTCGTCCTGAACTATGGCCATGTGGACAGTGGACTTCGTTTCATGACAGTGCGAGACCACAACAGATTTCTCGCTAAACACAACGTTACTGTGCTTCAACATCCCCGTATTCCCCTGACCTCTCACCATGCAATGTTTTTGTGCCACGACTAAAAAAAGAAACGCTACAAGGACGGCGACATGAGAATATAGACGCTATTCAAGCGGCTGCGACGACGGAGCTCACAGCCATTCCGAAAGAGGCATTCATCAGCTGCTTCCAGGACTTGCAGAAATTCTGGCATCGGCGTATTGACTGCGGAGGGGACTACTTTGAAGGGGACAGGAACCATTAGTTAATAAGTTGAATTTTGTATTTCTGACAGACTCATTCTCGGTACTTTATGGTCATGGGTTGCACATGAAAGCTTATTATTTCATCCGCGCTCATGGATAATTGCGTCTCTACAACTTATCAGAAATTGATAGTGTGACGTATAGACCTTTTGCTAAGCGGCGACTCTGACAACGACCTTTCTTGGACAACGGCTCGGTAAATACGTTCCCGTTGCTAGGCAGCATATCCTTAATAATGAAACAGTTTGACAACAGTGGAAAAGGGTGTTCTTTATGTGGTCCGTGCAAAGATGTTATAACTATGATAGTTTGGAGCATTAGTTCCGGTTGGGTAAGGGGGTTCTTTTCGGTCCGCCTCGTGTTTTTGTACGTAGGAGGGGACGAAAATTGAAGTCTCGAAACTGAGACATAAAATATGGTCGCCAGTTCCAAGGGACTTGGACCGGAGAACGTCTGCACTGGCGAGGGCCAGCAGCAATTGTAAACGACACACCCGTCAGACGGAGTGCTACACATCAACAAACCCGCACCTGTCTGGCAATAATAAATATCCGATCGTAAGTCCGAGATGGGTGCTTTATTCCAATACAGACTGGCCTACTGACCGTCCGTCGTAACATAAGCCTCCGGCTCATCAGTTCAGATGCGAGAACAAGCTAACGCATGGACTGCATTACGAGTATATTCGAGTCCTGGATGCCCAACTCATCAACAAAAACGATACTTTTCTTTGTGGCTGACAGAATGAGGACAGAACTAGAAGCTGACAGCGAGGTAATTACTGTGAAAGATCGAGCACTGAACATCAGATACTGTGCTGTAAAGGTCAGACTGGTCTCGCGGTCTAAGGCAGTGATTCTCAACCGTCGGACTGCGGCCCCTGTACCGGGCCCTCGTCTTACAGAAAAAAATTAATTTACCGAGCCGCAGTCTGACAAAGTTTGAGAACCACTGGTCTAAGGAATGAACTATTTTCCCCGACTCGAACACCGATATCGTGGGTTCGAATTCCACTTGAGTCATGGATGTCTGTGTATGCATTTGATCTGTGTGTAGGTGGCGGCCTTGTAACGGGTTGATCCCACGTCCAAGGAGTCGCAGTGACTGTGTATAGGATTTAAGCTAATCTGTCCTTTTAACAGGCGCTGGAAGCCGACAATTGTCAGAATGAACAGCGATTGTTTCCCCGAAACGCTTTAACCATTTGATTTCCGTAATGGAGACGCGATGTTATCTGTTCGCTAGGGACTGGAATATTTAGATTAAGATGAACACCGACTGTTGATCCGGTATAGCGACTGACTACAGCTTGGGGGCCGAGGGGTCACAGTTCGGATCCCAATAGGGGTAAGATTTTTCTCCTCTTCACGTCGTCCAGGCAGGTTCTGGGGCTCACCCAACTTCCTATATGTAACAAGGGCTCTTTCCCCCCCGGGGGGGGGTTAAGCGGCCGGGGGCGGAAGTTGACCACTCATGTAGTCCCGAAGTCAAGAATACATGGATCCACTCCCCCATACTTCTTCATGACATAGTGTTTAATCACAGTAAACCCTCACTAATCCGGAGTGACTGAGGCGAGAGATCATCCGGATTAGTGAAGCAAGAGGTACCCCTAAAAGACCTTAGAACACAAATAAATGTCGAATTTAATGATATAAATAGTGCTGGCGAAAATAAATAAAGAATATCACTGTAGATCCTTTATTTATAAACTATAAAAAGACAATACATTTATACATCGATAGAAGACCCAGAAGTTGTGCTTGTTTTTGAACGCATCAATGCAAGCTCGAAGAAACCTTAAAGTTTTAAAGTATGTACTCAACTGTGAAGAGCATTGTTTTTATTTCGGGCCGGATTATCCGACATCAGGTTTAATTGTAACCGGACTAGCGAGTTTTACTGTAGTTAAACAGTTTAACTTATCGACTGCTGATCTTGTACTTTGGTTTTCCAGTTGTGGTACAGGAGTACGAGGCCAGGGTGTTCGATTCGCAGGTGCTTCCCGGAAATACGGCAGTGTTCATTTGTCGGGTCCCCAGTTTTGTGCGCGATTTCCTCACTGTCACGTCGTGGCTGCAAGATCACCACTTCAACATCTACCCTACGGCTGAAGGAGGTAAGTAGAAAAGTTCTGCGGCCATTGCACATATCGCGTAGTGTTCCAAGCCTCGGCTGTACGACTCCGGAAAGAGATGCATGCCCCCGCTTCTGAGGGCTGAAGTACATGACACAAAGAACAGCAGAATTATTGATTCACCAGTGAATTATGCTGTGTGATACATAATGTTCCCTACAACCACCAGGTTACACTACAAAGTTACACAAGGCACCAGTCTGGTCTTTATTAAATCCATGTTCTGATACCGGCCTCTACATCTCAAATCCGAACGTGGAAGTGTACCGCTGGCTTCGAATAAGGAACGGAAAATACGTTTACATAAGAAATATAAGCTCACATTTGTTTAGTAAGCCGATCGCAGTGAAGGCATGAAATGTCTTCGCTCGCTCCAACGCTGGGATCGTGAATTCGGATCCAACTCAAGGAATGATGTTTCTGTGCGTTTATTCTGTGTTTGTGTTGTCCTGTGTGTAGGTAGCGGCTATTTTGTGAAGGCTGATCCCCCGTCTAAGATGTCCTACCGGCTTTGTGGATCAAGGAACTGAAACAGCTGCCAGAGTACAACAAAAGGCTGTAGATGGATGGATGGATTTGTTTAGTGATAATTACCGTACATTTTAGTTGCATGAGATTTAGGCCGTGCTATAGTTCTGGATGTTAATCGCCGGCTTCCCACCGCCGAGGTCTGGACTCGATCCCAGGTCAGTTCATGTGGGATTTTTGGTGGGCAAAGTGGCGCTGGGGCAGGTTTCCTCCGAGCACTTTGGTTTCCCCTGTCAATTCTCGTTCCATCAAATGGTCCATACTCATCTATCATCCGGGACTGGGACAATAGGCCAAATAGCCGTCGACCTACCAAGTGGACTTAGTCTCACCCCACCCCAAGAAACTAAAAAACTAACCATCTACCTGAAATTTTGGGTCCTCACGGCGTTCATTTCTGAACTGTGATGCCAAACAAGCAACGTCATATCTCAGAAGACAATATTCGTACATTCAGTTCCAGTCGTAAAATTCATGGTAAGAAGGTAAAAATTGATAATGTCCCTGTACTTAAATAATTAAACACTGCCCTATGAAGGCGTATGGGGAAATGAATGTATAGCTCCACATTTTCTTGATCTCGGCACTAGTTGGAGGTAAGTGTTCAGCTTCACGCCCCGGCCGCTTTCCCCCCGACGAAAGAGCCCCCGGTACTCATTGGATAGGAGGCTGGGTGGACCCCAGGGACTCTCTGGACGACGTGGAGAAGAGAAACTCGAACTCCGACCCCTCGGTCGTCTAGCACATAGCCAGTAAATATGCCGATTACACTATCCCGGCTCCTTGTGGTAATGGGACAAACCTATGAAATAAAAAATTGGTGAAAAAGTTGCACACGTTTTCTCGTATAAAATTGACCTCGATTATAACATCTTGGAAACTAAATCGACTGTTGCTGAATAGATCATTTTTGGTTTCCGAATATCGAAAAAGAGCTAAATCTGTCCGATCGGTAAAGCCGGTTTCGACAATATCGACATATCGCGTTTTGCTCCCCAGTGCGTGTACCTTGAGTTTATTTTAAAACACCATCCATGCATTTTTATTCAGATCCGTGGTCTCCATAAATGACCGAAATTTTATCAAAGTCGTTGGAAACTTTTTCGAGAAAATCTCAATTTGATGTCGTGAGCACAATTTGAAAAGCCAGTGTTTTTTGACCTGGAAATTTCATCGCATTCACCAGCCACAGATCTAGAACAGATAAACTCTTGAATCTTGCAGTTGAATAAAATTCGTTCAACCGCTCCGGACTATCCGTTCATAAAGACAGATAGGCGAGACAGAGTACCAAATTGGGGGGGGGGCTCCAAATGTGGAAATCCGTACAAATCTTGAGATCGAAGTTACCACACAGTCCTTCTCATACGAGCAACTTGAAAGAAGGACGAAGAAACGTGAAGTTAGGATTGCATAGAATTTCTGTCTATAGCTCTACAGCCCTTTGGTCGCCATATCAGTTTCTGCACACAGACATCCATGCCTTGAGTGGGATCGAACCCACCACCCCAGTGTTCGAGTGGGCGAAGACAGGCCATGAAGGCCAAGATCGCATGGCCAATGTGATCGGCTGCGTAGAAGATCACCTGTGGGAAACATCTCTAATTATTATTTTGGACTCCGCCCGTTCATTACCGTGTTCACAAAAGGCCGTCACTGGCCCCTTCCTGAGCCAGATGACTCTTTTCCGCACAAATTCGATTCTCTTCTGCCTATTTCCTTGATTCTAAGAAGCTATCGATTGTAAGACGCGCCTATAATTCAGATATAAATAACAATATAGCTGTCTGTTTTAAGATATCGTAGTCAACGCATCTAAAATTGTAAAAGTGATCCATCTGAAAACGTTTCAAAATGGAAAACTTGTATTTTGTATAAGATTTGGTGTTTTCACAGCGGTGACTATGAAGAATGGCGTCTTCTGAGATGTGGCACCGTATACATCTTGTGTGAACAGACGTTTCGGAAGAAAGTATCGACTCTATCTTCAGTTCACATAAGTTCTACACGGTACCACATCCCAGAAGACGACATTCTTCATTATATTATACCTCACTGAACATGAAACGTAAGTGGATGTCCACAAGACGCGCTGGAAATGTCGTTCATTTTTCTACATACGTCATTCAAGAGACGTTTGTGAGAGTAAAAAAATGGAATGATTTTAGTTATGATAATGTTTCAAGTAGATCATTGCATACAAACTGCTTTAATCTGCAAACAGAATGTACACCTGCTGTGTGTGTAAGTCTCACGATCAGCTATGCGAAATTTCCTAAATTTAAACTTTTTATTACTTTCGGTAATGTTGAAATATCTTTAAGTCAGCTTCGAGGTGTTATAGAATTCTCCATTTTAATACCACTTGACAGAGAAACGTTGTCGATACTTTGTTGCTAAAATCCCCTTCGTTCTTTTGAAAGTTTCCCATTTCCTGCTTAAAGAACACTTTCACATTTCAAGTGCAATGAACTGTTAAAATGTCAGCCATTTTCATAGTTTTAAGCTGTTGATATTAGGCGACGCCTCTGGTCGTTGTAAAACCATAAGATTCAGAAAGCAAATATTGCAAAGCGCAGGAAATCGGAGAAGCCGTTCAAACTGTCAAAGTACTTGAGCATAATGAGGTTTGTAGGTGTAGTGGAATGAGTCAAACTCAGACAGGTTTGATTATCCATATTGCTGTTCTGAACGCTCTCATGATAACATGTGACTTTATTAGTTTACACAAGCGGAAATATTCCTGTTTCACCAGAATATGGTTGCTGTTCTTGTCAGTATTGCAATATTAGGCCTTGTAGTTAGAACCTTGAAGATGGAATAATACATGCACTAAAAATGAAGGTTACTTCTGCCTTGAAGGATTGGGCTCTCTGGTCTGATATTATGAATGCTATATACAGTTGATGCCGGTCACGGTAGCCGAGCGGTCTAAGGCATGCACTGTCTTCGCTCGCTCGGAAGCCGTGATCGTGGGTTCGAATCCCACTCAGGGCATGGATGTTTGTGTGCGTTTTTCTGTGTTTGTCTACAGGTAGAGGCCTTGCGACGAGCTGATCACTCGCCCTAGGAGTCCTACCGAATGTGTAAGATCTAGAAAAACCGAAGTGAACGGAGTTCATGGAGGTAGGCCTAGGCCCACTGGGGCTGTAGTGTCAAGGAAAAGAAATATATACAGTTGATAGGACTCGTTGGATGAGTGATCAGTCCGTCGCAAGGCCGCTACCTACACAGGACAACATCAATACAGAATAACTGTCTCGAGTGGGATTCGAACCCACATTCACACTGCATGAGTTGACGAAGACATTTAGTATCTCAGACCGCGCGACGCTGTGAAGGGCAATAAATTATTTGAGTAATTTAGTCAGAAACATTGGGAATGAGACTCCATTCGCATACACAAACACGTCGCTTTAACAGCCGTGGCTGTTGTATTTGGGAAGAGAATGGCGTATGGGTGTTCTCTGTCAGGTCCCCATAACAAACAGGAAACAGATGAAACGGAACAGTTGCATTGCTATATGCTAGCCATGACGGTTTTATATTGCAACGTGGATGGTCAGAGCGTTGCTGGGTAACGGACGGGTAAACACGCCGCAATACACGCAATCAACAATGGAACAACGAGGTTATGCAACCCACTTCTATGCAGCAGATCGCTAAACAAACTTCCGCGCACGTGCAATGACGTCACACTCCAGCAGTACTAGTTATCACGTGACTTGTTTTTATGTTGTCCGTGCGGCGCATGTATAACGAAGAACCGTTTAAGCTTAAGTTAGTTACATAAATGATGCCCCCCAAACACATCGTGTTCACCTGGCCCTCTTTGCGGACGCCACCTGTCTGTATGTGACAGATCGTAAGGAGGGTTTTATTGTTAGAAAACTCCAGCGCGGTCTCAGCTGAATGGAGACCTGGTGTGGGCGCTGGAATACTATTAATGAAGATAAGACTCAGGGGGCTTACATCTCTCGTGGTCGTCGGCCGCCTCAGTTTTGTCTCACTCTAAATGGACGAAATATTCCATTTGTAAATAGTGCAAAATATCTAGGTGTAATCTTCGATAAGAAAGTTACATGGAGATTGCACATAAAAATGATCGAAGCCAAGGCCTTCAGAACATTCATTAGAATATATTTCCTATTCAAAAGTGAGCCATTGAGCGCTAACATTAAACTGATCCTCCACAAAGCTCTCATTAGATCCGTAATGACTTATGCTAGTCCCGCCTGGGATTTTGCGGCAGACACCCATCTAGTGAAATTTCAGCGCCTGCAAAACAAGGTTCTCCGCACGATTGGCAATTTTCCAAGGCGCACACCGGTCCGCGATTTGCACATGGCATTCAAAATCCCATACATATAAGGCTATATAACAAAATTATGCAGGAAACAAGCAGAAGTCATACAAAATCATGATAATGAGAATGTTCGCAACATCGGACAAGG